CCAACTACTCTTTCCAAAATAAAACAATGGGTTCCTGCGGTCAGTATTTGCACTAATGTCCAGCTGCAACAGACCTGTTTTCTAATGCATTGCTAATCAAAATGGTACCTTATCTGCTCAGGAAAGTGAGGCTGCAGAGGTATATGGTGTCCAGGAGGTGTGCAACTTGCCTGTTTAGGCCCAAGGATGCTTCTGTCTAAGGCAGGGGTCTCCAAACTTTCTCACCAAAGGGCTGGTTTACTGTCCTTCAGACTTTAGGAGGGCCAGAGTGGCCAGTGGGAGTAGAAAATGTCCCAGCGTTAGTAGGAGTAAAAATAACTGCATAGTGCTTGTAGTCAGTGGAAGGAGGAATAGTGTCTAATCATTGGTATTAGTTGGAGGAACAGTGCCCATCATTGGTGTCATTGGGCGGAACAGTGCCCACCATTGGTGTCAGAGGAAGGAATAGTGCCCCATCCTTGGTATTAGTTAGAGGAATAGTACTTAAATGTTTATATCAGTGGCAGGAATTGTGCCCCATCATTGATGCCAGTGGAAGAAAAAATGCCCCATCGTTGGTGCCAGTGGAAGAAAGGTGCCTCCTTGTTGGTTTCCGTGGGAGGAATAGTACTCCGAGGGCCGGATAAAGGCAAGCAAAGGGTTGCAGTTTGGAGTCCGCTGGGCTAAGGTATTGGCAAAATCTCCTTTGAATAGGACTTTGGGTGATAATATCCTAGAGCATTTTTAAAATCTTAGTCTTGAATGCTTTGGTTTCAGTAAAGAAGAAGGTTGTGTCCTTAATTGGCTAGAATTTCTTTCATGCTTACTGAAACACTAAGAGTGGAAAAGGCAGAGGTGGAAATTAGGGCAGCTCTCATGACCAAATCAATAAATGCCTTAACCTCCCTAGCGGTCTGATTATGTCCATATTTCTGTGCTCAAAGCGGTACATTTTTTTGCATGGAAATATGTTGTTTTTTTTTATTGTAGGCCTGTAATTTTTAGGAATAACTCACTGAAATCTGTTCGAACAAGAGTCTAGTAAACATCCCGGGTAGGATAAAACTTGAAACCCGAAATTATAAATTATAATTTAATAAATATTCATAAAACATAATAATAAATTTAATTCAATAATGTAATCAAACCAAAAACACTGAAATTTGAAATATAGCGCCAAGTTCGCATATCACTGAGCAAAGTCGCAAAATCGTTTTCAGTGTCTGATGACAAATTTCCCCACGAATCATCACTATCGCTGTTCTCTAGCTGGTCTAAAACCGCTTTTGACCTAAAGGGATGCTTTTTGGACACCATGGACCTTTCTCAGTTTCCAGGCAGAAAGAACAGTAAAAATGCAGGCAGGGCACAGGACAAAGCACTAGGGACAAAATGTATGTGAAATGGTTTGATACAGTAATGTTTTACTATGTGACTTTAGTGAATGTCACTTTTTGTCATTTTCAAATTTCCCGCCGTTCCGTCCCCCGTACGTCCCAACGCTCGCAGGGGACGGAACCCAGATGACAGATGCCGGCATCCGCTGGATTACATTGCCGGAGACACTGCAGGAGGGACATCATGGGAGCGCAGGACAAGGTAAGTGATCAAGGGATCGCGGAGCAGCGCCGCATGGTAAGCCAGAGTGTAGCTCGGGGTTACCACTTGTGGTACTGAAACTTTACCCCGAGCTACACTCGGGAATACCGCCAGGGAGGTTAAGGAAAAGGTAGAGCTGTAAACCTGTTGGTAAATGATGATGGTGTGATGATGAGCTTGCCTAGTGTGGATGAGGAGATGGAATGTGATATCATTGGCCAAGATGGTGATTACTTTTTATTACTAAACATAGGTAAAGAGAACATAAAAGAGAGCACAAGGAAATGGGAAAAGTGAATTACTGCAACTTCAGAGTTATAGTCATGAAAGAAACAAGAAAATTTACACAAATAACTTCATGATCTGCAATAACAATACAAACAGATGACCAGGGCATCCCTTATGAGTTGGCTACTGCATTTGTGGGATGAAGGGACAGTGTTCTTTTGCCAGAAAAGTAAAATGTGTTAACCTATGATTCACGGTTGTGCCAGGCCATCTCTAAGGCTTGAGAGTTTACTGTGAAGTTTCACTGTTAGACCTTGTGAGAGATGGGAGAGTAAGAGTATACACTAACCTCAGTGACCAAGAATATACCTCCTTGTGGAGAACATTTGGAAAAAGGTAGTGTTACATAACATGGGTTGTATAACTGGACTAGCTAGTGAATCTAGAGTGGATGGATCAAGACATGGACCCTATCTGCTCTGCCCTCTAAACTGATGAGGTCTGCACCATTTAATCCTAGGATTTCTATCAATACTTGCTGGGAGGCCTGAGGTTAAAGTAATTGTAAAATCATTCATACATACAGTTGTGTTCAAAAAAAATAGCAGTCAGACATCACTAACCTGATCAATCAATGTTGTTAATAGAAATGATATTTCTACATGGCAAGTAATTTACTAGCAGGTGTAGTAGAGTAATAGAAATCCAACAGTCATGACATGCATGCTGCTGATTCTGTGTAATTGAATCACTAATTGAAAGGGGCATGTTCAAAATAATAGCAGTGTGGAGTTCTATTAGTGAGGTCATTCATTCTTTGAAAAACAGGTGGCAATTATTGCCCTTATTTAAGGAAGGAAGGCAGCAAATGTTGTACATGCTGGTTACAGTGCATTTCTCTCTGAAATTCTGAGGAAAATGGGTCGTTCCAGACATTGTTCAGAAGAACAGCGTACCTTGATTAAAAAGTTAATTGGAGAGGGGAAAACATATAAAGAAGTGCAGAAAATGATAGGCTGCTCAGCTAAAATGATCGCAAATGCTTTTAAAATGGCAACCAAAACCTGAAAGATGTGGAAGAAAGCTAAAAACTACCATTCAAATGGATAGAAGAATAGCCAAAATGGCAAGGACTCAGCCAACAATCAGCTCCAGGAAGATCAAAGAAGGTCTAAAGTTACCTGTGAGCACTGTTACAATTAGAAGGCACCTATGTGAAGCCAAAATATCTGCAAGAAGCCCCCGCAAAGTCCTACTGTTGAAAAAAGACGTGCTGAAGAGGTTACAATTTGCCAAAGAGCACATTGACTGGCCTAAAGAGAAATGGCGCAACATTTTGTGGACTGATGAAAGTAAGATTGTTCTTTTTGGGTCTAGTGGCCGGAGACAGTTTGTCAGACGACCCCCAAACACTGAATTCAAGCCACAGTACACTATGAAGACAGTGAAGCATGGTTGCGCAAGCATCATGATATGGGGATGTTTCTCATACTACGGTGTTAGGCCTATTTATCGCATACCAGGGATCATGGATCAGTTTGAATACATCAGAATACTTGAAGAGGTCATGCTGCCTTATGCTGAAGAGGAAATGCACTTGAAATGGGTGTTCCAACAAGACAGTGACCCCAAACACACCAGTAAACGTGCAACATCTTGGTTCCAGACCAAGATTGATGGTATGGAGTGGCCAGCCCAATCCCCCGGATCTTAATCCAATAGAAAACTTGTGGGGTGACATCAAAAACGCAGTTTCTGAGGCAAAACCAAGAAATAGAGAAGAACTGTGGAATGTAGTCCAATCATCCTAGGCTGGAATACCTGTTCACAGGTGCCAGAAGTTGGCTGACTCCATGCAACACGGATGTACAGCAGTTCTCAGAAACAGTGCTTATACAACTAAATATTAATTAGGTGATTCAAAGGAAAGCAAAATCTTCAAACATTTTTCAGTTTATATAGTGAATGTTTGAGTTTGTAAAGAAGAATACAAACACTGCTATTTTTTTGAACAGTCTAATATTCACTTTTCTTCAATTTTTTTTAGAGGAACAACACAAATTTGATATATTTTTCTTCACGTTTTGATTTGGAATAGAATGTGTAGTGTTCCCAATGCATTTGTGTGTATGGAAATAAAAGCTATTAGAAGGATTTTGAGCTTTATTCACTTTTTTCAACACACTGCTATTATTTTGAGAACACAACTGTAATATAAACACAGACATCATGGCTCAGGCCTGCTTCCTTGTCACAGGATTTGACTGTGCCAGCAACAAGAGCCAATGGCCCCTGCTGCCTCAGCAAAGCCTTTGAGAACTGGAAAAGTCACTACAGACAGGCACAGCTCTGCATTGAGTGAGGACTCTGGTAAGTATAAGGAGGAGGGGGGGGGGGGGTGGTTATGATACAGGTTCTGGAACATTTTTGTACCTTAATGTAGGGACTGCATTAAGGTAAAAAAAAAATTAGGTTTTAGAATCACTTTTAAACAAAACAAATTCATGAAGCCACTACCCTTTTAAACCAGTTTGGGGAACTTTAAGTGGAACTTTAGGCTTCACAATTAAAATGGGTGAACAGGCATGCTTTTTAATGCAGACAAGACATGTTTGTCTCTTCTGCATTAAAGCTATGCAAACCTCCTAGTAAACCTATTAGATGAATGGGGTTTTTAGTAGAATTACTGAGGAGGTGAAAACTCTTCAGGGTTAGGAACACTAGTTTTAGCAAAGATAACATTAGCCTAGATTTATTAAAAGGAGAACAGGCCTGTCCTGTTTTTCCCACAATTGCACTGGAAGCCAAACCCAAATCCCTTTATCCTGTGAAGGAGTTGGAGAGTTTCAGGAAGTGGAATGGAGAGGTTCCCTATACTTTCTAAAAAGAAAGGTGGGTTTACAGTGACTGCAGTAAGGGAGATTGATGCTCATATGCATCTGTCACTGAATTCCATAGAAGGTCATCTTCTCCTATACTGGTGATGGTTTTAGTAGATACTGGAGCTGAAGTCACCCTATTACAAGGAATGCCCACCCATGATAAAGGAGAAGAGATCTATGTAGAAGATTTGGGAATGCAGACCACACCAACAGAACATACCGTATTTTTTGCTCCATAAGACGCACCTGACCATAAGACGCACCTAGGTTTTAGAGAAGAAAAACAAGAAAAAAAATATTCTGAACCAATGGACTGCAGACACAGTACAGGGGATGACCAGAGACTGTGGACACAGTGCAGGAGATGACCAGAGACTGTGGACACAGTGCAGGAGATGACCAGAGACTGTGGACACAGTGCAGGAGATGACCAGAGACTGTGGACACAGTACAGGTGATGACCAGAGACTGTGGACAGTACAGAAGACCAGAGACTGCAGACAGTGCAGGAGATACCAGAGACTGCAGACAGTGCAGGAGATACCAGAGACTGCAGACAGTGCAGGAGATACCAGAGACTGCAGACAGTGCAGGAGATACCAGAGACTGCAGACAGTGCAGGAGATTCCAGAGACTGCAGACAGTAAAGGAGATTACCAGAGACTGCGTACCTTTGGGGGAGGGAGGGGGAGCGGGTACCTGAATTTGACAGGTACCTGCTCCCACTTCCGCGGAGTTGTCCTTCCCTTCTTCCGCGGCGGCTTCTGTGACAGCCGGGTGCCCACCTGTGCGCACTGCGCATGCGCGAGAAGCGCTGCGCATTGTGAATGGCCGGAGCCCTCTGGGACCTGTCATGTGTCCCAGAAGACACCGGACCATTCACAAAACACGGCGCTTCTGGCGCATGTGCAGTGGGCACCGGCTGTCACAGAAGCCACTGCGGGAAGACTGCAGCGCTGGAGCGAGGAACAGGTAAGGTCCTGCAGGAGAGAAGAGCTAAGCGGGCCGGCCCGATATTCTGACAGGGTGGCGGCAGGAATACCGGACCAGCCACTTTACATTCGCACCATAAGATGCACTGACATTTTCCCCTTTTTTGGGGGGAAAAAAGTGCGTCTTATGGAGCGAAAAAAACGGTAAGTGAAATTGTTAAGGGACAATTTTTTTTTTACATGTTTTGGTTTCAGAGTTACCAAAAAATACAACGGGATGGATATAATTCAAGGATCCAGATGCCATACATAATGCATTGCCAATAGCAGGATAGGTGAGGGAAATGGACAGACACCTAGAGTAACTTTAGCCCAGGACAAAATGCTTATGAAACGGTACCTTCAGAAAAGAGCAGGTACTGCAGCCAGGTAGGGAAAAGACATTTCAAAGCAAAGGGCAGGGCTTGTTGCCCATCCAGAAGAAATTCATATGCTTCAGCCCCACACCCATTCAAGGGGATTCACCTTTTGAGTTTCTGTCAGAGGATGAGAGAGCCAGCCTGGTTCATTAGCTGTTCAGCCAGAGTCTCCTCCACTGGGCGACTGCGACATCATATTCTCTATGCGTTTCACCACGTATGACATCCATCTGTCTGCCACATGGAAAAAGAGATCCTAAAACCTGGGACCTATGGGTACATCATAAGGGCAGCAAGTGAATAAAAAAAAAATGTTGCCCTATTGCATTCCTCAACTATCCACAGGGTAAAAACTGCAAATTGTTTTGTGAGGGGGTGTAATATATATATATATATATATAGTTTTTTTTAATTCAGACAACTCTCTTCATGAGCCCCCTGCAATATGCACCACACATATCCCAGTAGGCATTAGCTTCCACATACTGAAGCTGGTGGAAGGAGGACCTAGCAAACACCATCAGAGGGCCAGCTGCCTGAACCCAGAATGGCCAGCCAGGACATAACCTTGGAACATGACTCCAGTTGCTAATACCCTCAACAGATGCCATGCCAAGGGCAAGGAATAAATAAAGCTCAGTGTGTGAATGAGGTCTTGGGGCTCATTCACATGCGTGCTATGGCTTGACCAGCGTGAATGAGTGATTTTTTTTTCGGACACAATAAATAAGTAAAATGTGTGCAATCACTAAAAAGAAACACTACAACCAATAATAAACTACAAGTATGAAATATGCTGCCACTAAGTCCTCATATGATCACACCACATAGAATAGATATATATATATATATATATATATATATATATATATATATATATATGACACATAACAATACTACATCCAGGACAGCGTTGCATGTATCACAATGTTGAGATCCTATAAAAGTCCAATAAACACTGGAAAACTGGATCCCTCTAGAGGTGGAAACTCAAAAAATTAGAATATTGTGCAAAAGTTCATTATTTCAGTAATGCAACTTAAAAGGTGAAAATGATATGTGAGATAGACTCATTACATGCAAAGCAAGATAGTTCAAGTCCATGATTTGTCATAATTGTGATGATTATGGCTTACAGCTCATGAAAACCCCAAATCCACAATCTCAGAAAATGAGAATATTGTGAAAAGGTGCAATATTCTAGGCTCAAAGTGTCCCACTCTAATCAGCTAATTAAGCCATAACACCTGCAAAGGGTTCCTGAGCCTTTAAATGGTCTCTGGTTCAGTAGGAATCACAATCATGGGAAAGACTGCTGACACTGACAGTTGTGCAGAAAACCATCATTGACACCCTCCATAAGGAGGGAAAGCCTCAAAAGGTAATTGCAAAAGAAGTTGGATGTTCCCAAAGTGCTGTATCAAAGCACATTAATAGAAAGTTATGTGGAAGGGAAAAGTGTGGAAGAAAAAGGTGCACAATCAGCAGGGATGACCGCAGCCTGAAGAGGATTGTCAGGAAAAGGCCATTCAAAAGTGTTGGGGACTTTCACAAAGGAGTGGACTGAGGCTGGAGTCAGTGCATCAAGAGCCACCACACACAGATGGATCCTGGACATGGGCTTCAAATGTTGTATTCCTCTTGTCAAGCCGCTCCTGAACAACAAACGTCAGAAGCGTCTTACCTGGGCTAAAGAAAAACAGACCTGGTCTGTTGCTCAGTGGTCCAAAGTCCTCTTTTCTGATGAGAGCAACTTTTGCATCTCATTTGGAAACCAAGGACCCCAGAGTATGGAGGAAGAATGGAGAGGCACACACTGCAAGATTAGCTTGAAGTCCAGTGTGAAGTTTCCACAGTCTGTTGATTTGGGGAGCCATGTCATCTGCTGGTGTTGGTCCACTGTGCTTCATTAAGTCCAGGGTCAACAACACAGCCGTCTCCATTCCGTCTACCAGGAGATTTTTGCAGCACTTCATGCTTTCTTCCACAGACGAGCTTTATGGCAATGCAGACTTCATTTTCCAGCAGGACTTGGCACCTGCCCACACTGCCAAAAGCACCTAAAACCTGGTTTAACAACCGTGGAATTACTGTGCTTGATTGGCCAGCAAACTCGCCTGACCTAAATCCCGTAGAGAATCTATGGGGCATTGCCAAGAGAAAGATGAGAGACATGAGACCGAACAATGCAGAAGAGCTGAAGGCCACCATTGAAGCATCCTGGTCTTCCATAACACCTCAGCAGTGCCACAGGCTGATAGCTTCCATGCCACGCCGCATTGAAGCAGTAATTGCTGCAAAAGGGGCCCAAACCAAGTACTGAGTACATATGCATGCTTATACTTTTCAGAGGTCCAATATTGTTCTATGTACAATCCTTGTTTTATTGATTGCATGTAATATTCTAATTTTGTGAGATTGTGGATTTGGGGTTTTCATGAGCTGTAAGCCATAATCATCACAATTATGGCAAATCACAGCTTGCACTATCTCGCTTTGCATGTAATGAGTCTATCTCATATATTAGTTTTACCTTTTAAGTTGCATTACTGAAAATAAAATAACTTTTGCACGATATTCTAAATTTTCGAGTTTCACCTGTATATAGGGGAATCAGGACTTCTTTCCTCCTGCTGGGGGTCCCTCTAGTAATGCCTAAAGATCTGTATAGGGCTAGGTCTTCAGGACCTCCATGGTGCTGTGTGTGCTGTTGATCCTTCTAGTGATAACTAAAAATCTATATAGTGGAATCAGGACCTCCTTCCTCCTGCTGGTGATCCCATTAGTGACAACTAAAGATCTATATAGAGGACTCAGGATCTCCTTCCTCCTACTGGTGATTTTTCTAGTGATTTTTTCTAGTGATGCGTAAAAGATCTATATTGGGGAATAAAGACCTCCTTTCTCCTATTGGTGATTCTTCTAGTGATAACTAAAGATTTATATAAGAGATTGAGGACCTCTTTCCTCCAGCTGGTGACCTCTCTAGTGATACCTGCTGGTGATCATTCCTCCTGCTGGTGATCCCATTAGTGACAACTAAAGATCTATATAGATGAATCAGAATCTCCTACCTCCTGCTAGAGATCCCTCTGGTTATTTATTATTATTATACAGGATTTATATAGCGCCAACAGTTTGCACAGCGCTTTACAAAATTAAGGTAGACATTACATTTACAATACAATTTGGTACAAGAGGAAACAGGGCCCTGCTCATTAGAGCTTACAATCTCTAGGAGGAAAAGTTGAATGATACAAAAGGTAATAGCTGTGGGGAATGAGCTTATGGAGGAAATAAAAGGCAGTTTACTAGTTAGAAGCAGGATAGGCTTCTTAAAAGAGAAAGGTTTTCAGGGGTCTAAAGGTGGATAGTTTAGTAGATAGCCATGCAGATTAAGGTAGGGAGTTCCATAGGACGGGAGAAGCTCGGGAGAAGTCCTGGAGGCGAGCATGGGAGGAGGCAACATGAGGGCTAGAGAGAAGAAGGTCTTGGGAGGATCGAAGAGAGTGGTTTGGTTGATATTATGAGACCAGTTTTGGTGATGTAGCTGGGGCAGAGTTGTGGATGGCAATTTAAGTTGTTGTATGTTGAAATTTATTTGTTGAGCAAGTGGAAGCCAGTGGAGGGTTTGGCAGATGGGGGTAGCAGACACTGAACCGTTGGTAAGGTGGATGAGCCTGGTAGCAGTATTCATGATGGACTGGAGCGGGGATAGCCTATGAAAGATAAGCCAATGAGGAGGGAGTTGCAGTAGTTGAGGGATAACCAGCGAGTGAATTAGGAGCTTTGTGGTTTCATTGGTTAAAAAGGGGCATATTCTGGAGATGTTGCAGAGGTTGAGGCAGCATGATTTGGACAGGGATTGGATGTGGGCCTGAAAGGATAGTTTAGAATCCAGGGTTACCCCTAGCACCCAGGCATGCGGGGATGAATTGACAGTGGGGCCATTGATCCTGACCAAGAAATCAGGGGAAGAGGCAAGTGTGGGAGGAAATATTATTATGGTTAAAGATCTATAGAGGGGACCCAGGCCATCTTTCTTCTGCTGGTGACCCCTCTAGTTATAACTAAAGATCTATATAGGGGAACAAGGGCCTCCTTCCTTCTTCCGGTGACCCCTCTAGAGATAAACTAAAGATCTATGTAGGATCCAGGTCACATTTCTCCACAAGGTCTATTATACCCCACTGAGACTTAATAAGATATACCCTAACTGTGACCCTATTTGTCCCCTCTGCTGCAGGGACCTATGTGCTTTGGTCATGCCCTGTAATTATGACCTACTGATCTGATATTTTTACAGAGATTACTCTCCAA